GTCCCACTTGAGCATGGTGGAACTTTAATATGCTTTCAAATTCAGGTTGATAATATTTTGTTGAGGACTTTTACAACTGTATTCATCAGGATTATTGGCCCCTACTTTTCTAATAATGTCTTTGTATGGTTTTGATGTGAGGATAATGCTAGTTTGATTTTTTGGGAAGAGTTTAAGAAGGACTGTTCTTGATTTTTCCTTAAGTGTTTGGTAGATTTTAACAGTGAAGCCATCTAGTCCTCTGCTTTTCTTTTATAGGAGACTTTTCATTATTGAGTAAATTTCCTTATTCATCATTTATTCAGATTTTCTATTTTGTTATGATTCAGTCTTTGTAGGCACTGTGTTTCTTAAATTCATCTCGATCACAAATACAGTAATGTAACTAATAAAATTATATTAACAATAATGCTAATACACCACTAAGTCTCAGTTTCAAATTGCACAACATAATTTTAGTTTTCATTGCCTATTCATATATTAAAAATTACATTAAAAATTCAAGAAAAACCATTGCAAAGCAGAGTTGGTAAATTATGTGTTTACAGTGTCTGTACAGATTGTCAAATGACCTCAGGGAATATAACCTGCTGTAAAGATTGTCAGATGACCTCGTGGAATATAACCTAGCATCCTGATTGTGAAGTTCTGCCTTTCAAGTTATCATATTTTGATTATTATAGTCACAGTTATAGGTTGCTAAAATGATTATCAGTTTTTATGGTATGACATCCTTTTAAATAATGGCAGGGTATTTTGTGATTTAATTTAGATTAAGACATCTAGAACTGATATGTTTCATATTTTAGATCATATTAGTGAAGACTAATAGGATTAGGCTCCCAATGAAAGCATAAGAAAGAGACCACACTAATTCAATAAAATGTCGTAATATATTCCAGAACATCCCTACCTGCAACTTTGTGCCTTTCCCACTAACTCCTGTCCTAACTGTGAATGTCCTGTAATGAGATTTGGGAGGGCTCTGCAGCTCTTCTCCATTAGAGAGATGGGGGTGGGGTTGGGAGGCAAATTGCTGGGCCTGTGCAATGTGTTGTCTCCCTTTGCCAAAGGGAAGATGAAGTCCTTGGGAGGCAGGAGGAATACAGCTCAGACACACATAACACCCAAGTCTAATGCTGGCTTAGGTGGGTTTCAGTTAATTATCAGAAGGTACAGTTTGGTAACCACACTTTTTAAAATGTATTAAGACGGTGCATAATTTTTAAGTATCACCTAATAAACAAGGTACTTTTATTCAGTAAATAAACAGCTGAAGCCAAACAACATTTGATCCATTTTTATATTTCTGCAACTTAACATAGTCTCTGACATTAATGATTTTTAATAAGTACGTGTTTGATGGCACTACAAATTCAATTTCAATGGGAATACAGATATTGTCTTGAATAATTATTCAAGGAAATTCATCATGTATTGGTGATTAGTTTAGAATAATATTCTAGGAAAATACTATTTGTGGGTGCCTGATCACTATTATAAAATTAAAGGTATACTAAAGATAAATAATCAATGTCATTTAGTAGATTTTATTGCCATATTCATGTATGGCCTCACAAAGATCCACTCAGAAGGTGACATTTGCATCTGGATTTCTATATTCATTTGAAACTCCCTGTTAACAAGTGTATGCTCAGACTCATTATAAGACTTCTTGGTATAACATGCTAATTACTTTCCTGCACTCTAGCTCCCAAACCACAATGAATCATATTATGAAAGCAAATCACTGAAAACTTCAAACAGCATGCGTCTTTAAGATGCCACTATTAAGGGAAACATAATGATGGGGAATCTTTGATGTTATCAGATGTGATGGAAACTACACATTTGTATTTGTGTAAATCCTGTAGAGTGAAGCATTTCCCCTACCCTTAAATAACCTGAAACCAATTTCAAGTTCCCAAATGCTCTTCAAAGCAGCCTGCCTTGGAAGTAATGCTGATGGCATTTCATATTTCAAGTTAGCTTGCTTTTTCCATCTCAGGACTTCAAGCAGATTTGAAATTTTACTTTCAAAGAGAAAAGATATTACCTGCTTTTACCCAAACCACTAGCCCTGGTTTGATGATGAGCAAAATGTCATAGGTAATGAACTTATCTATGGTAATGAAACTATGGTATGTAACCTTGTAGCTCAGAGTCTGAATACTGCAGCCGATTCCAGGGAATTTTGAACTGTGTTTAGATACTTCATGGTGCCATTCTTTCTTGTTCTTGTGTTGTTGACCAAAAGTTGGAATGTAAACTTTGGAACATGTAACAGAATAACTGTACACAACTGGAATTAGTCCACCTCCTCCTGAATGGGGTGTCTGTGGAGCTGAGACAAAAAATGGTGTGTGCTTGATTCCAGCGCCCACAGGGAGCCCAGACCACACAATTCAGAACATTCATACTATGAATAGCTCCTGTAGCAGGAGGGTCGGTCTGTGGCTTCTTAAAAGGCTTCAGATTTGTGGTCAGTAGAAACATCCATGAGCCTATTTGGGATAAAGGATACAGTGGACCTAGTGAAGTTCCACTAGCATTTAATTAGGTTTCCTGTAATTGCTTTAAGTAAAAGTGGGGAATGAAACCTGAGGTATCCTCTTGGGACACAAAATATTTGTATGTGGTTTTAATATCCTGAGCCCATTTGTTGATGCTCTGAATTTTAGAAAGAGCCATTATAGTTTGAAGGAAATATACACAGCAGGTTTATCAGCCCTTTGGTAACTGTAAATTGGAAGAGTTGTGTTTCCAGTAACTGAATTTCTGCGTGAGGAGGGAATGGATAAAGAAGTAAAACAGGCAAAAGCATTAAACACCAGAGTGAGGAAGAAGAAAACAGGAGGAGATGGGGTTGGGAGAGAGGTTGCATTCCATCTATCCAAAGACACAAATTTCTAGATATTAGAAAAATGAGAAAAATTATAGTAAGATCAGAAAAACAGGAGGCCTGAGCAAAGCCAGGAAAGAGGGTGGAAAGTAATGCTATTCACTGATAGTTTGGGATTTTTGCTGTGAAGATTGTTATATCAGTTGGACATTGGCTAAAATAATATATTGGCTTTTCAGACAGGGTTGAAGGGTTGCATTATAGCAGTTCCTTGAAATTTCTTTTTAAACTGGTCATTGTATAAACATGATAGAATTACTAATTTTCAAAACTTTAAGATATTTTTAAATATACTCAGTAAACTTTTGACAATGGATCTCATCCTTTCAGGATCTCATCCTTTCTTATGATTCTAAAACCCACTTTCCTGGTCCTCAATCCAATAGAGAGGATCTTTAGTGGACCTAAGAGCCTACTAGTTCCCATGACCCAAGCCCTCTCAGCTCTTAATAGAAAATATTGTTCACTCCTCTGGGGGACAGTACCTGCTTCCACTGGGTGGTTGTTAATTTCCTGAGTACTCTCACTCATTTGAGTATTTCTTAGGTGTTACAGAGAAATTTGTGGAATTCCTTTTTAGGGGTTTCCCAAAGGCATACTCTCTCCTGTCACTTTTGATCAACATTACAAAAAAATTATTGTAATAATTTTGGAACTTGTTAAACTCCAAGAAATTGAATAAATAAATATACACCCACTGACATACATATACACACATGCACAATATCACAATATACACATGCACTCACACACATGTATATATTTTATATGTATCATATGATACATATAAGATGTATATATGTGTGTGTGTGTGTGTATGTGTATATATGTATGTGCTCCCACCCTGGGCTCTCACCATATAATGCTACCAAGATAGCTCACATTGGTTCTATCTTTCATGCTAGATTGAACTTCTTTGTTACTTTCTCTCATCCCTATAGCTCGACTTTGCAGCATTAAAAACAATTATTCTTAAATAGTAAATAGTATACCCCATTGTTAATATGAGTAATTAGAATTTCTCTAAGTGCTCAGTACAATATCTTTTATGTAACTGACAATAGATACTTATTCAATGAATGAATAAATATAAGGTAAATAGTGCAAAGTGATTTATTTAATCATTCTTATTGTGTGCCCTTACTTGGCTCAAAACAAGTTATCCTACTCCCTGGATATTCTGCTAGTTATCTCAAATGGACACTCTATTCTGAAAATATGTGTATTCCATTTCCAGGAGAACTGAAAGTTCCCCACATACAATGTTGAGATAATCCCTTTTACTCACTGCAAAAATGAGCATTGCAGAATGATTCTCTGTAACAATCTTGATAGCTAAAGATATATATCCTTGAAATGATAATCCCAGATTCTTAGTTCAAGTTTTGTTATCCAAGATTACATAAGGCTGTGAAATAAATTGCAATTATTTCAGCATTTTGGCTGAAGGACTTTAACAAGATTTTAGTTACATTGCAATTACAATGCATCAGGTGGACTTTCAAAATATCTTGCATGAAAACCCTAAAGTCATATATTCTTTGATTAGGATATTAGAGGTATGTTAACTGAAGTATTTCTTTCACAAAAAAATAATGGGCTATTATAATTGAAACACAACTATTAAAGTAATTGAATTGTTAAATTATCACCACAAAGAGTATAGATTTAGGTTGTTCTCTCTCATTTCTTGTGAGGAGTTGGAAGACTGTGTATAGCACCTGGGCATCCTAGCCACATTTTAATTGAGGTACAGTCCTTAGATGTGAAATCTGAGTTCACTCCTCAGTAAACAGAGGGCTATAACTTGGTGGGGGATGAATTTTAGCAAGCTCCCTGGGGAAATCCATTATTTTGTAGGGTGATGGATTCACTCCACTTTCATCTTCAGATGAATCCAGAAGATTTGAAATAGCAAATAAGAGAATGAAAAAGTAGTTAAATAAAGCGACAGGAGCCAGCTGAAAAACCAGAGATGAGAGACAACATCTGGATGTTGACCTATGGCAACAAGAAGGATCACTGGGGAGAAAATACGTGTTTCATATTTCATTGGTACAGGTCTTTTCTTGACTTGAACCTCCCTTTCTCTTCTCAGGTCTCATTGTCCGGGAAGTGAGCATTGAGATTTCACGACAGCAAGTGGAAGAACTCTTTGGCCCTGAAGACTACTGGTGCCAGTGTGTGGCCTGGAGCTCAGCAGGCACCACGAAGAGTCGGAAGGCTTATGTGCGCATCGCATGTGAGTCGCTGCACAGACACACACACACTGGGTTTCAGAAACTATGGAAATATCAGAAACTTTAGACCATAACTGATCTAAAGTCTGGGATCAAAATCCCTGGTGAAAAATTGCTCCAGATTTCTTCATTTGAGCTATACATCCCTCTGAAGTCCCAGAGATATCTTTTTTTTTTTTCAAGGCACTGGCTAGTTTTCCTTTAGAGATGTGAAAGAATTCTTCCTACTTTCAAAAGATTCTTATTTTGTTTTAATCTTGTAGCAATTAGGCTATAGGAGAACCAAGTATATTCCTTTTATGAGTTGATTTAAAACTGTATTGAGCAGTGTCCTTATTGGAAATAAAGACTACCCAGATCAAGCTTCTCTGTTTATCTAGGAACTGTTATAGTGCCTTAGAACACAGCCTTGTTTTCCAAATTGTGTTCATTTCTAGAATAGTCATGTTCAGGAAAAGTGCCTCAGGAAAAAAAAGGGGGGGGGGTTCTATAATCAAATAAATGTGAGAAATATATTCTTTGACAAAATTAAATGGTTTATTCATTGTAAAACTTCTCAGATTTGTGGATATGCTAATAGGCACATTATCCCCAAGAGAAACCAAGCCCCTGCAGAACCCTCTCTCCCTGAATACTCTACTGCTAGAGCAGCATGAGTGTTGCTAGACCGTCTTAAGGTCCATTGAAATTCATATGTTTTATTTTTTGAACCTCTTTAAATGGCTAAAGCTTACTGAATTCTCTGTTGTGGCAGATGTCAATAATACATCTGCTGTGTCAGTAAGTCACATGGGTGCTGACTCATGTGCTCTCAGGTGGATGCTCATCTCTTGCTTCCCTTCATTCAACTTGATCTGGATCTGGACCATTGCAGACACTTCCCCTTAGTCTCCATGGCTAAATCTTTTCCCTGTTCTAGTCCTTCTTCCATGTTACCACGAACACAGTCTTCCTTAAACTTAGGACTCAATCTCACTTCTACCCTTGCTTAAAATTTTTCAGGGACATTTAAAGTCAAAATTTCTTATCAAAATATTAGAGACCAGTGCCTTAAAAATCAGAAATTAACTTTCTCACAATTCTGGAGATCAAGGTGTTAACACGTTTGCTTTCTCCTGAGGCCTCTCTGGGGTTTGCAGATGGCCACCTTTTCACTGAGTCCTCACATGGTCACTCTCTCTCTGTGTACACATCCCTTGTGTCTCTCTGAGTGTCCAAATTTCCTTTCCTTATAACGATAGCCATCAGATTGGATTAAAGCCCAGTATAACTGTTTTATTTTAAATAACTCACCTCTTTAAAGGCCTTATTTCCAGATATCAAAGGGTTCTATAATCAAATAAATGAGAGAAATATATTCTTTGACAAAGTTAAAGTGGTTTTAGTATAAGAGGTTTAGTATAAGATTCTGAGATACTAATGGTTAGAGATTCAACATAAGCATTGGGAGCAGGGAGATACAGTTCAGCTCATAACCACCACATTTCATGATTTCCATATCCATGCTATGTTTCAAGCTCTGACCACAAAGGATTTCTAAACATTAGTCATACCAGATTACAAATGTTTTAATCTCCATGCCTTTGGACTGTTGCTTATGCCTAAAGATTTCACCCTCATCTTAGTTCCTGTTATACTTTTTAAAATTAATGTATTTGACAAACATTCAGTGAGGATTTACTCAGTTCTGGGACAATTATAGGTATTAGGGATGGTGGGGGAAGCAAAACATATAATCACGGTTGCCCTTGTGGTACTAGTCTTCTGGTGAGGAAATGCAACCTCTGTGTAAAATAAATAATAACCAGTTAAGGAGCAGCTAGTATGTGCTGTAAAGAAAAATAAAGCAGGAAAATGGAATGGGTAGTCAGGGTGAAGCTGGTCAGGGAAAGTTTCCTGAATAAGCCGATGGTTGAGTCAATCTGCCTGCAGGAAAAGGACCAGGTGAGGACTCCAGCAAGGGATTCGATTACAGACCTCTGAGGCAGGCACATGCTCAGCATCATCCAGGCAGTGTGGTTGGGCCATAGAGCCCAAAACAGCCTGTGTAATGGGAGAGACCTGAGGGTCTGAGAAAGGTAAGACTGGAGGGTAAAGACAGAGAGGGATGTGTGGAGATGTGGGACTCGGTGCTGTGACATCTTGGTTTTTAGAATAAATGTGTAGAATCTTTTCTGCAGAGGAACTGCATCTGACTTCATTGGGAGAATTACCTAAGGGCTGATGAGAAGAGACCTGGAGTGGCAGCAGGGGTAGAAAGGAAGAGGGCTTCAGCTAGGAGCTATGTTGGGCAGGCTCAGAACAGAAGCAAGGATGGAGTGCTGAGAGCAAGATTCTAGACACATTTAATGTAGAGGGAAGAGCTTTTGTGGAGAGTTAGGATGTGAGAGGAAGAGAAGAAAGAATAGTTCAAGAGACCTGAGCCTTTTTGAAGAATTTCTATCACGTGTCCCTGGTGAAAGCACTCCTGTTCCATGCATGGAGGATAGATATTCCTCTCTATAAATTTTCAGAGCAGTTTGTTATAATTTTAATCTAGGGATTACCACATTTTAATTATATTCATTTGTTGTAATGTTTGTATTTCATTCCAATGACTTCCTTGAGATCAAGTCTTCGTTTTACTTTATGTCTTCAAGTCTTAGAATAATGCCTAGAAAACCCTAGATGCTTAATAAATGTTTTTGAAATAAAACCACTATAAACCACAAGGAATTCCCTATGAAGTTTATTGAAATGCTGTACATTAATCTTCCCTCTTCGAATATGTCTAAAGAGATTTGCTCTTTGTCTCAAGTGGATTCTCCATGAAATAGACTGTGAGATGGAGACATACTTGCAGAAAATGTATTGAAGAGCACTCTTAGGAACAATAGTCCAAGGATATCAGGATGTTAAGTGGAGGAATGGAGTCAATAGGATTGGGCAGAAGGAGAAATTGAACTTCAGTGCAAATCCAACAGTGGCTAACCTATGGGGAGGTATGGAGTGCCAGTAGCCATGTGGAATTGGCCCACCTGGAGGCAGAGGCCTTAGATGGATTAGTCAGTGGATATGGGCTCCTCATGTACTGCCTACCTCAACAGCGAGTGTGACCTAGGACCAAGCAGCCTTCTTCCCAGAGAAAGATGGAGAGCTGGCAACACCAACATTGCCAATAGGGAGGGGACAGGCCTGAAAGGGGATCTAGGGGGAATATCACCACATCCCCTATAATCTTTTTACACAAATCTCTGAAGAATTTGTGTTATATTATAAGAAAGAAATATGTCTTTAATCATTTTTATAAAGAAACAAAAAACTAATTGTTTTGATTGAAGATTTAAATGAATTCAAAATCAGCTTTGAATTATAATCAAAAGAGGCACAATGATAAAAAAGTTTATCTTTATCTTTCATTTCTATGTATATCAAGCACAATAAATATTTAAAATTGGAGTCTATTCTCTATACTAAATTATTGACTTGCCTAAAGCTGAAATTTAAGGGCTGCATAATTTCAAATGCTGGATTTCTATTTAATAAGCTTTCAATTTGATTTGATTTTTAGAGAAGATTGTGGTGCCAATTTTACATATATATGTAAATATTATTGGTATACACATCCTATTTTTCCATGTAAAAATTAAGTATATAAATACAAACCCCCACCCCATCTTTCTATACAACACATTCTGCAAACCTAGCTACTTAATTCGTGGCTTTTAATTGTTATTTGACATTTTCCAATTATAAGAAACTAAACTCTAGGAAGAGATTAATTGATCCATAGCATCTTTTCCCTCCTGTAAGAATACTTAACAGTGGTTTACCTAAAACTTCATAATTAACAGAACTCCTGTGTGTGGCCAGGGAACACCACCCAACATGTGATGATTTGTTCATATAGATATATATCATGTGAAGAAACAAAACAGGTGAGGTTACAGGTGCTCTCTGTCAAGGCTACTTCCCTACCAAGCAGGCCTTGCTAATCCATGCATGTCAATTTTCTAGTCTTCATTGCCTCAAATGAGCCGTGTGTGCTTTGCCTAGTAACACTTGACAGATGGCCATCACATGAAGTGCAATTAAAGTTTAAATTTAATTCACAGGTGAAGATAGCCACAATGCTAAGGTTAAATAAGTACAATGACTTCTCACCTAATTAGATTTATGCTTATTAGGTATACTGTAATGGGTCCATCATTCTTTCTTGAAAAAGTTCTATTGTCAGAAGTTGATTAAGCAGAAGTGAACATTGACTAGTATTTGTTTGCCAAGAATATTCCATACCATCAAACTATATGAGAGAGAGAAAAAATAAGTTTGTGGGGCTGGGGTTATGGCTCAGCGGTAGAGTGCTCACCTTGCACGTGCAAGACCCTGGGTTCGATCTTCAGCAGCACATAAAAATTGAATAAGTAAATAAAATAAAGTTATTTAAAAAAATAAGTTTGTGAAACAATCAGGGCAGAGGAAAAATACGGAAATTGGAAAGTTTGAATTCACTGAGAACATAGTGGGACTGCTCTACATGCTCTTCCAGATTTCCCAGGTGGCTGTTCTAGCTTCCCTGGCAGAGAGAGGTTTCTGCTGAGAAAGCTCAAGTGGATGCTGCAGTGACTAAGTAGAGCTCTTCTGGCAGCACCGCTGTGAGTGTGGAGGGTCTGTTTCTTCAAGTGTTTCTTGCTAAGGGCCAAGGAGAGGATCTCAAGGTGTGAGGCAGGCAGGAGAATGGAATAGGCAAAGTGTGAGCAAACACTTTAAGAACCGTTGTGGTTTCAATATTGCTGCTGCTGTGGATGTCGCTGGTGTTGATGAAGCAGTGGTGTGGTCTTCTGGGGAGAGGGAGGGGAGGTGATAAAAGCAGCTAAGTGGAATGGCACTTAGCTGAGGCACATTGGCCTCAGGCCAGGTTGACTTATGTTCAGATCCAGCTTCAATCACTGACTGATGAGATGCCAATCAAGTTACTTAACCTCTCTGAGCCTTAGTTTCATCAACCATGAAATGAAAATGA